ATTTTTTGTTACTGTTTAGTGAAAAGTTATCATTATAACTAATCTGGTATCCATTTTCTGATAATATATTTTTTATTAGGACCCACCATCATATGGATTAAGGAAAACATTTTCATTTTTACAGTTTAAGATGGTTAAATAGACAAACACATACATATCTGTTGGATATTAAAAGGTCAAAAAGTACTATAAAATTGCAGGATGGAACATAAGGGCAGTGGATAAATTGAGTAAAGATAATGGGTTGTTAAGAATTAAATCCAATTAATTAAATAAAAATGGGCTTAAAAACATATTTACGGTTCTAAAAATGGGCTTTATATATTCGGTAAATATACATATCTCTCTCCCTCTGATTGGCCGAAATTAATTAACAAAATGAAAAAAAAAAACGCAGACACGCGTTTTGGTTTTCATTGTTCTCTCTCTCGACATCATCTCCTCGATCTCTCTGGACTTTTTTTTTTTTTGATCTCTCTGGATCTTGTGTAAAAAAAATGAGAGATCATCAAAATTGAGTGTGTATCTCTCTCTCGATCCCTCTCTCGGATTTCTCTAATCGATCCTTGGATGGAGAATCTAGACGACGAATCGAGTCAAATGCAAGGTGAGGATTTCGCTGGATTAGCTAATCCATGGTGGAATTCGTCGAGCGTCGAACTAAACTGACAGTAGGTCCGATCCATCGACCACCGTTTCTAACGAAGACGCAGATCTGTGTAATCGTAGCTTTGATTACAATCTCGACTCCGATTCTCATCAAAACGATTCTTAAAGGAGAAACGCTTCTACATGATCGGAGAGTTTGGTTATCCGGCGCCGTTTTCGTTTACTTCTTTAGTGTTGCAGGGACGATGCATAACATTATCAAAGAAGTGCCTTTATTTGTTAGAGATCATGAAGATGAGAGTAAGGTGGTTTTGTTCTACGAAGGTCCAGATCATCAGCTTGGAGCTGAGGGATTTGCTATTGGGTTCTTGTACACTGTGGTTGGATTGCTCTTGGCTTGTAAGAGTTAAGAACCTCAATGAGCAAAGGATGTTTATGGTTTTGGCTCTGTTTATATAGTTCTGGACTGTGAAGAAAGTTGTTTACTTGGATAATTGGAAGACTGAGTATGAGATTTACCCTTATTGGCCATCAAGATGGCAATGATTGGATCTTGATGTTAAGGTAATTGATTTAGTTTTCAAGTTTCTAGAACAGAGGAATCATGTTCTTGAGAGATACTGCCACTAGTTTCCGGTTAGTTATTCATCTGAGTGAGATCATATAGTCAAGTTTATGGATTATAGAATCATTAGAAGTTTAGGATCCACAATTGTTTGATCTTCTTTGTGTTGTTCTTTTGGATTCATTTACCAAAATTTGGATGATCGAATTAGAGGAATGATTGCTCTAGGACTTTATATATATGCCTATGATCATGGTTCTGCATCTATTGAGGAGAATACTCATTTTCCCAATAACCCCCTCTATATTTACTATCTATAATATATAAAAAACAACATTTGAGTTCTAATGTTAATTCCAATACAATTAATATTATAAAATTTATATAATTTTATTAAGGATGAAACTTAAAAATAATTAAAAACAGAAAAAAGAAAAAACAGACGAGGATGAAAAGGATCTATATACTATTCAAGAGACTTGGTTCATCATTTATATTT